TGCCTTTGAACATACCTTGACTCTATCTAGTGGCCTGTTGTTAGATCACAGCGTTTATCGCGTTGTCGTCGTTGATTTGATAAAATCGTGCGATAGCTTCATATCGATGTCTACGGTATGGCATGAAAATGCACATCGTTTGCAATGTTTCAGCATTTTTCTGTTTTTAGAGTAATCAGTCCAATGATCTACCGCCTTCGTCGTGATTGCGAAATGCTCTCGAGTGTCGCACTGCGTTTTGCCAGCGGGGCTTCATACCACAGCAGGGACTCTCGGAATAAAAAAGGTCCGATGTTTCTACTCGAAAGCTCAACCAAGAGTGGACCATGTGAAAAATCTCCACCGTCTCGGTTTCAATTTGTTGCAAGGTGGCAAATCTCCTAAATCACGAGGGCTACCAACTGCTTGGCGTGGAAACGACCTGAGGGTTTCGGTGAGGCTGCCTCGAGACCCACGAAAAAAAAATGGCAAATTTAGCGATATTTCTGTCTCAATGCCCCACACATTGGGTGCTTCTGTCTAAGACGTACGGCGATGAGACGATCGGAGAGAGGAGATCAAATCTCAAGTTCAATAGAACTTTACTGAAAAAAGACAAAACGATTGCGTCTATGACATGCCATTGATACTGTTTCTTTCTTTGCTTCTACAGCACCAAAATGGTATCTCTAGACGTCAACTTTCACGGGCTTCTATGGAATACTATTTACATTAAGACCATGTGACTGCTCTTACACGAAACGAAAAATAGGTAGAGCGATATCAGGCAGTTAAATGGTGAAACACTCGCTATTGGTGACGAAGTTCCCGCCACGACATGTCGTAGGCGTCAGTTTTCGCCGTTCACCTATGCGTCTCCAATTTACACCTTGCACGAAATCCTATTACTGCCCTTGGCTGTCCTCGTCTTCAACTTTCGCGTTTAAAAGGAAGCCAGTGCCATAAATTGCTACTCACCAACTTGTACAGCTAGTGATAATTAAACAAACATGTCTTACAATAAGTTGGCGAAAATCATCCGCAAGGAAAGGTTCTTCTGCAAATCATTGCTGGAGACCTCAATGTCAGATTAGAAAAGGCTAGTTAATGTGAGTTTGAGATCGGGATAATTCGAATGGAGCGACAAAATGAGAACGCGGATCGTCTTCTTAGATCTTCTCTCCGAGACACATGGTCTCAGTTCTCGTATAATAGAGGGAATTTAGCCAATTGGCATGTATCGCTGATGAGGCTTGCCAGAAATACGCAATTACTTATACACTCTACCTGACAGGAAATGTGCGACTGTGAATATTAGTCTTATTTTCTATAATCTGATAGAATGTTTCAAGCTCTTTTAGTCTGTCACATCTTTTCTAATTCCAGGCATTTCGAATGAATAACTAGAAATTTTGCATATTGTTTATCACAATGGCTGTCAGCTCAATTGGGCCAATAAAGCGAAATCGCTTACCCGACCAAACCTCTCAAAGGTTTATGGCTGACAGCTAACATAGAGATGTCGAGAAATGAGTAGTGGCGGATGACGCTTCTCCGGATGATGAAATGAGGGTTCGATTCTCGCCTGAGGCCGTGTACTCGCACATCATTTAGTTCTCTTAGCAGTACATGATAGCGTACTGATTGCGGGACTAAAAACGCTGTGATTAAAACACATGACTATGATACTCCATGACTTTTTTCTAAGTTGTACGATTTAGTGCATTGACGTACTCTTAGCGATTTTTGGCATAAAGTCAATGGGAGACTTAGTTACAGCTCGCCAATTTCTAAAGCTATTCATGTTCGATGCAAAAATGATGAGAATTCTGGAACTGTTCTATTATGGCGGCGCCATTTGACGCCTTTGGTATAAGCGTATTCTTTGCTGTCATCTGACGAATGTATGATTATCTGATGGCTTAAATCAAGCGAATTTCAAAGATACAATCTATTTCTCATATGGCCTGTGTTTAGCGCCATACCAGCCAAAATGATATTTTCTTCTACATTTTGATATTTCTCGCCTGATGAAAGCTTTTCTCATAACAGAACTTTGAAATCTTTCTGATTGAGAAAACTATGTTTGCTCGTAAGAAAAAACTTCTTAGAGCTCTGCAATCCGCACAAGAAGAGTGGGTTTCATACAATCTGAAATATCGCTGTTTTCCGCACCTCTTTAGAAACAAGGTTGTTTTCAATTTTTCCAGGTTGCATCTTAGCTTAATCAATAGCTCAAATCTAGGCAATTCCAGCAATATATTTAGGTTGTGAAGAAGACCTTTCATGTACGCCGTAATAGCCAAATTAAAAGTATGTTTTACAACTTTGAAGGCGTTTCAACGCGTCTTTCGGCGGAGGGGGGGGGGGGGGTGCGGGAATTCCTTCAGACTTTTGGAAACCATTCGATAGTCTGAATTCTGCTGATTCCGTGATGTATTTGATTTTTCGAAATGACCTTCTCAGTGAGCTGCAATAGGTTAGGGCGCGCAATGCAACGACGGCACCTTGCCATCCAGTGAGAAGTCTTTGAATGAGAAACAAAATCTTATTTTGACTGGTAGGATGAAGGATAATAAAAAAGACAAAGCTCTCGGCGTCGATCAATCCCTGAGGAATGCGCCATGCATTCGTCTTCAATTTTTAACTTCGTTTGAGGTGATTGAATGCATATCTGGCCCTTACAATGACTCGCGGTGGTCCCCCGCTGAGCCGAGTCAGTGCTGCTTATCCTCCTAGACAAGTCTGAGACAAATGCGGTACCAATTTACCGAGCACGGAAGGATGGATGGCTTGGTGAGCCATGAGCACGATATCGTACCATTGACCTCGTGTGCGACGCAGAGCAGCTTCAACCACTGCGCCACATGCGCTCAATTTTGACTGATGCGGCGCCAAAAGTAAGCTATTCGAGAAAATAAACATGACATTGAAACTCACCTGAATTTGAGCTATCGATAAACTGTAGAAACGTTTTGCAAGAGCAAAAAATACGTTATTACCGAAACAGTGCCATAACAGAGCAGTACCAAAGTTTTGAAGGTAAATAAAGGTGAACCAGAGTTCGACAACTTGCAGGCAACATCAGTCAAATGGATGAAAAGTAAGAAAATAAGAGGAGAACAGTGCTAAAAGCATATTCTATAGCTGGAGTTTATTTTGAATGAAACAGGAATCACACATACATCCTGACTACATTGATGACATCTTATGTTCTTTTGGATCACATACTCTGTTAACCTGACGTATCTGTTGCAATATCTGTGTTTGAGGGAAGAGGGAAAATGCAGGATGACAACATTTCGCTGCTTCATAAAACAATTCCCATTTAGTCCTTTGCTTTTCGAGCTTATTGATTAGCAAATGTGAAAACCACTTATTTCATCTCTGGGATAAAGTGTGGCCAATGCGAAGCGAATCTTAATTGTAGTTTGTTCGACACGGAATTAGGGATTGCCTCAGCGTCTACCCCTGATTGAAGATTGCGTATGCCTATGATGGTCCTACTAACCCGTTCGGGACAGTACTGAAAAGCGTTACGCTACACACAAATCGCAAAGAGGAGCGCGATTTCGAATTTTTATCACACAATTGGAGATTTGTTCTCTTTGATTTGAAAGAATTTTTAGGTTTCTCGTTTGATTTTGTTAGATAACGACTGACTTCACTAGATCATATGCTTTCGGAGAAGGTATAGCTTATTTTTCGTGAAGAACTACACTAGTTTACTTCACAAGCCTACTGCTTTTTAGCATTCGATCAGGTGTAATAGAATATATATAGGATATCATTTACAAATTATTGAGTTTCTACATTTTTATTATGTACGATGCTCATAGGCCATAGCAGCGATTGAGAACTAGAAAACAATGAATATTTTGTTAGAAGTAGTTATGTATATGAATTACTGCATCTCATCGATAACTCTGGATAATTTTTGGATTACCAATGTGATTCAGGATTTGAGACCTAATCCGAATTATACAATAGACTTTCTTCTGTCATTATACAAAAACTTTGTTGGATGATCATTTGCTTTATAAACGCTATTCGGGCTTGCAAATTTCATACTGGACATATTTGCCTAGCTGTGCATGTTCTACGTAACTCTTTGGTTCTTTCCCTCAATGCGATTTTCTCTACAAACCTTAGGTTTCCTTTCAAAATAACTTCAATGTGGCCACGATTAATGGTTGTAACCGTTCGCCAATAAACCACAGACCTGGTCCACCTAATTGTATTCAATGAATATCATACCGCACATTCATCTTCCGGATACATATTCATTTGATACTTGATACTTGAACGGTCCGTCTTCACTAATTGTGTGGACCCCACCACATATAACAAGTGTCTCCTTGTTGCGCCGCAGTCGTCCATAACGGTGATTTGAGCATGGCGGCTGGTGCGAGTGTCATACCTTGATCTGAAAATATGGGGAGCTGCGAGTACAGCTACTTGACTCTTTTGACGAGCACGTCCACCCCACTTGCAAGTGGTCATCCTCTACGACGCATACATTGCCGTGGAATCCAGTCTATAGTTCTTCTCGTCCATCTGCCTCCCGTTCTTCTCAGTATATGATCGACCCATCCGTGTTTCGCTATAGATGTATACACCGCTAAATTCTTTCTATTTTGACTGCTACTTGCAGAGGTATGATCTTATAGTATATCCAATATGTGGAGTACTGTGCAAAAACGTTTGCGTCAGCCGGGATTCGAACCCAGATCTCACTCTTTCCTGGAGCGTATGCTAAACCGTTGCACCTACCGACGGCTCGCTTTGAACAGCACTCTTATTTACGCTATGACGCGTTGTCTGCCAACAGCCAACCGCCGACGGTCTGGCGGTAAGAGTGAGATCTGAGTTCGAATCCCGGCTGACGCAAACGTTTTTGCACATTACTCCACATATTAGATGTATAGACCTCTGGATCACGAAGATGGGATAGACCTCGAAGTTCTGAGCTGCGCAAGCCGACCAGATGTTGTATTCGCCGACTATATTTGACAAGAAATCGTTTCAAGCGCTCTGTAAGTTGTTCGTAGTGCGAGTCAAGTATGAGCCCACGTCTCAGCTGCATAGCGGAGCGTCTGGAGGGACCGTTGATTCGAAAAGGTGAGCACGGAGTTTTGGGTCCGTTAGTGGGTCGGTGGCTTCTCTGAGAAGCTCGAATAAGGTCCATGCTGCTCTATTCCTTCTATCTGTAACTCCTTCATGTTTTTTCCATGTTCAATGAACGCCCAACGTACGCACAAGAGGTGGTTTCCGCAGTGAGAGATCCATTCATTTTGTCTTGATCACCACTGCACCATGGATTTTTCATGAATTGGGTCTTCATCCTATTAATGCGTAATCTGATCTTCTTTCCCGCTTCGATTAGTTCCTCTAACATCGTCTCCGCTTCATTGGTACTTTTCTGAAAAGATGACGATGTCGCCCGCAAAACAAGATGTGACAGAAATTTTCCATTGACACAAATGCCTTCTCGTCCAATCGACGGACTTCATTACTCACTGCAGCGCGGCGGTGAAGAGCTTTGGCGATATCGTATCACCGTTTCGAACCCCTTTACTAATGGGTATGGTCAGAGGTCGATGAATAGCTGCTTTTTTCGCGGTACAATTTCGATAGCAGTTCTGATAAAGTTCTTATGTAGGACGAATCCACTCCTTGATCGACAAGGCGTTGATAGGACTGCGTTCATTTCGACACCCTCAAATGCTTTTTTTAGTACATGAAGTAACCCAACCTTCTTAGTTTAAGGGCTGGAGGGAGTTCCGACAGACTTTCATGACCCTCGACACGGTTTGGATGTGATTTATGCAGCAGAATCCTTTACGGAATTCTGCTTCTTCAGTTAGTTGACCTTCATCCAGTTCTTGATATGCGCAGAAGTATAATTCTTCGTAAAGATCTTGTAGAGCACACTCAACAAGCAAATTGGACTACAGTTCACAAGATTTTTTCACTCACTCTTTTTATGGGGATGGTCGGACGTCCTACTGGTGTGCAATTTGTTCGTTTTGAAAGGAGGATGTCATATGTGTAGCGAGTAAAACGTGTAGATTATGGCCTCCAGCTCTTAGAAGGTCTGCGGTGATGTTATCATGCCTTGGAGCTCTGCCATTCTTCATGCCTTCTATCGCAACACGTACAGAGGCTAAAATTGTGGGTGATTATTCTCCAGTGGGGAATTCGGGGTCCGAGACAGGGATTTTGAAACGGAAAAGTTGGTATAAAATTTTTTTCTATCATTTCCATTTCATGGCGAGATGTTCTAGCATTCCCATCGTCGTTCTGAGGATGCGACACGAGCACTATAATCGCACAAGTTCCGACGGCATTTTCTCTAGACTAGGTCTTTTTTGTGCTGCTTCCAACAGTTTTCTTCTTGCCTGTACCGTAAACATCACCCTGCAGAGCTTTCCTACAGCTAGAGTTTATCATCAAACGAGCTAAGTGTGTCGCATTAGAATCAAGCCTCAGTTTTCTTTTCTTTTCGAGCAGCTCCTTAGAAGTAGTGAAGATGCGGTCTGAACTCGCTGTTGGAGTACTTGAACCAGACTCAACACAACTTTTAAGTCTCTCAACAAGCAGCTCGTAGTCTTCGGTTCGGATCTTCCTTTATTTGCCAGTCATAATTGCTAAGAATTCTGTTTAGAATGTCTTCGCAGTGGAAGGCTTGAGAATTTTTTCTCGGATGACATGACTTCTTTTCCAACGTACTACTGATTCGAATCTTTGCGCGAATAAGGCGGAGATCGGAGCCAGTACAGAATGATGGGACTACGGATGAGTCAAGTAGTGACCATCTTCTGTTTGTGAGTATATGGCTGATCTCAGCATGTGTCGTACCACTAGGTGACTTCCCTGTGGATTAGGTGACTCTCATGTGAATACATACACTCTTTTGATTTCTACGAATTAGTCATATACACACATATACAGAAAAAAAGGCGAATATTTTGCGCTATGGAAGAATTGGGTACTAAAATCTACAGGGATTCTTGGGAAATAGTAGGTATTGCATATTTCTCATGTTCATTGTTGTCACCTTGCATTCACTGTTTGCAGAGGTGCAAATCGGAATTGATCAATTGTGAAAACTGCGAATCAATTTGACTCTATTAAGCTCGGAATAAATAAACCCTCCAGACTTCATTCAGTGTTGCACCGTCTAGCTCCTATCCCATCAAAAGAATACCGGTGAAGAGAAACTGGGAGTGATCAAAGAATATGTTGTCAGCCAAATCATTGAGGTGATTAACTAGAGGAAAAGAGCAGAGAAATAAATGAAATCCATCAGTGTAGCAAATGGTAACAACATCTTAAGGAATCTGAAGCCTCATGTGCCGCTAGGACGAATGACCAACATTGTTTTCCAAGTCATGGATCAGGTGCTCTAATTTTTTTTGGCCTCACCCCTTCCACTTTTAAGATTATAAAAATTAAAACCGTTGATCCGTCTCCCCATTTCGACTAGAATGATGAGCTACACTCATAGTTTACCACTTTATGTCTCTCCTCGTCATGGCTCCAGTTTACTGGAATAACCCATAATTGGTTATGTAGTCTATACACTATCTAACTCGTGATTTACATCTTATCATTTAGATATAGTGGCGCATTGATGTTTTCAGGACTTGATGTATCGATTACACCCACTAAAATTCATAATTTTGAATTCGTTTTTCCATTTTCTTAAAGGAAGGAAATTTATATAAACATCGGGATGTTGCACATGGTTTCGAAGCTACTAAGCAAAGTTTATTCCATGTGGTATTTCGATGGGCAATTATAATGGCTGACAGTTTCAAGGGTCTTCGTTACTATCACTTGCAGCGGTCACATAGCTTACAATTCCTTCACCTTCGATACCACAGATTTCCTTGCAGCATCTTTTGTCGAAAGTTGTCGCTCCCAGCAGTAGCGTCCCAAACTCGAAGCTCAATTTTGTTCATCGTCATCATTTGATATTTGAAGTGCAAATTAAATGTTGATGTAACTAGCGTTGTCGTAAGAAGTCTCATATGAAGACATTCCTGAAATACCCCCACGGATTGCAACAACCGATACTGTGTGAAACAAACATATAATTTGATTTTTCCGCGGATGCTGAGGAACTTTTTTTCTCAGTCCAGTAATAACTGGTGCCTCGCTTTTTTCAACCACATTATCCGCCTATCTTCGTAGTTGAGAATGAATGGTTTTCTCTGTACTTCACTCTTCTGAACCCTAGCGAATTGTCTTCAATCAACAAAGTGTGCTGTACACTACTTTAGTAATGTAAACAACGGGCGTTTGCAAAACTTCTCTCACTTTGTACACAATAAGCTGTAGAAAAAGTTGTGTCGTATTTTCCAAAATGCAAAAAAGATTCATTTGTGCATCAATCAAAATTAATCAAGAGACAAATTAAAAGTTGAAGTGTTTTCCTCCCACATCTGGACAGTTCAGGCACTAACAGCATGAGGAATTTGCAGCGAAATTTCGACGCTATATACCTTGCAGTTTTCGACTCGACGATTATCCCTGCCGTAACGTATGCAACAGAAACCTGAACCAAAAAAGGATGCTTAAAGCCTAAATAAGGTTTTTACGTTACGGTTTACGTAAAAACCTCGTTTTGGCTTTAAGCATTGCTTTTTGGAATTATTTTGAATGTTTATTGCGAGGTTCTAAAAACAGTCGATGTTATAGAAACCTGATCGCTACGTAAGCATGATGAAAGATCACTTGACGTTATTGAACGCGCAGTCGAAAGGTCGACTAGGAGTATTCCGTATCTTGTAAATGAGAAAAAGGATCCAAAATTCTCACCTACGCCAACGATCGAAAATGAAAGTCGCCGTTCTACAAGCCAGGATATCGAAAATAAGGTGGGCCGGACACGTGATGCGCTTCAACAACAACCGATGGACGAGAGCCGTTACCGACTGGATTCCTCTCGACGTCAAGCGCTCTAAAGGAAGACCACTGACCCGTTGGTCCAATTTCTTCGCAAAACCGATAGAGGGAAGATATGATGCTCAGCGAAGCAATAGAGCGAGGAGGACCCACTGGGCTACTTTTGCAGGCGATAGGGAAAAACGGAAGGTTGCTGGTACCCGCTCGAGTCACTCGACGATCAACGGGACGACAGGTGATACAGGTGATACTTTCCGTAAAGAAATCGGACCAACGGGTCGATGGTCTTTTTGTACAGCGCTTGATGTCCTGTGTGAAGAAGTCTACTATACCCTATCGCGTGCTAGAGTAGCCCAGTGAGTCCTCCTCGCTCTAGGGATTCGCCGGGCAGGATGAGAACACCTGACATGTTACAACAGGAAGGCATAGCAGCTCGCTGTGGAGATGATATATGCATGCAGTCACGTTCAATAATGCTCAATGAATGCGAACATGCTTCAAGGATTGACTAATATTGACAGCTCCATATTTTGTCTCTGAATGGAATATACATGATGTTCTGGCCTTAAATAACAACTTAAGCTTAGAATACCATGATTACTCCTAAAATCATGAATTCTCGTGATGTTATATTGTCATACAACGCATCTTAACTTAGCACATGATATGGTAGATCATTTAGATTGCGTACTGCATGCGGGAGTCGTAAAAGGATAATGTGATACTTCTCAATATCAAAATTGGGAGGAGTCACTAAAGTAGTCTTTTTCGAATGAGGAAACTTCGGAGACACTGCAGCAGTATGTTAACTGACTCGAATTAGAGAAGAGATGATGCACTTTTTAGACATTTGATCCGTTTTTCACA